AAGGTGACCATTCATGTCTTGTCTGGTCTGTTTTTATGCCAGATTAAGAGCTATGTTCCAATATGGCGACTACTGTTTTCGTAAGTCTTTTTCGTTTAAATTGATATCCTTTACAAGAAAAGCATTCGCAAATGCGCAGGCGTGGTCCTGGACAGTTATTCGGGTGAGAAACTGTCTAGAAGTAAAGGACCGACTCTTTCGTTGACAAAGTAAAATAGAAGCATAGGCTAAAGAAAAGACTTTCCCTAATGCGTTAAGCTGTTAATTAACGTACACAACGGTCGTAGTGCCCCTGACGGATCGCCCGGATTTTGATGTTGAATTAACTTAAGGAAAATTTCCGAACCTGCTTTTCTAAATTCACCCCGAATTCCCATGTGGCCATTTTATTTGCCTACTGTTTAGTGGAATAACCGCATATTGCCTGTATCTTCCAATTGTAGCAGTTACATACTTCAGAAACTCAAGATCACTTGATAATGTTTCCGGTTCGAGCATGTATCAGAGAATGGGTGTGAGAAGAAACAGGTAGATTCTGCAAAAGCTTCCGATGCTAATAGTCCGGTTCGCTTGCATTTTATCACTGCGCATTTGAGACTGTGGTGGTCTTCTTCGCTTGCAATAGGCGAAATATCACTCACGAAGTCAGGTAAGGTCGAGGCATTCTTTTCATTAAGACTTAACTCTAAGGTTGTCCAATATTTACATAAAAATCCCTTACATTAACTTGGGTACTTAAATTAAAAGAGGCACAATTTAAAAATCAGAGCTCGTAAGTACCGGCATTCTGTTTCATCTGATATTCAAATATAACTTCCTCGATTCTAGCGACCTGGCTATCCTCTTCCCCATTAGTTAGTATCTGAGACTCCTATGCATCCTGCTATCATCAGTTAAATCTTGGTCGATTCTAAAAGTTGGGGGATGTTTGACATACTTCTGTAGCCTGATCTTTTGCATGGCAGGATTTCCTAAACCCCGTCTTTATTTAATCCTGTCACAGTTTATGCTGCCGGTAATTGCGAGGAAGTCCGACCTGACCACCCAAAGTGAAGAGTTTCCCCGAGAGCTGACCTCCCAGTTCTGGACTGTCAACGTAATGACCGACTTCGAGAATGTTGGCTTCTGCAATGCAGTTGGCTCCATCAAATACCTCGTGTGTGCCGACTGTGAAATTGGCCCCATTGGCTATCATGACACGTCTGTCACGCAGCCGCCTGAGTTTCACATTGCCTGCTGTCGTGTGACCACCACCCAGCCAGAAGACCCTGTGTCCTCGACCCCGGCCACAGACAGCAGTCCAATACTTGTGACGCAGCCGAGTACTTAACTTCATCAACATTCGCTCTGTGTCTGATCCCGAGTGATGTCCTCTATGTTCTCCATTTTTCAGTTCACAAGTGGGCTATGTGATTGACTCAAGCTTTTTACTAGCGCACGCTTAGAACCGAATGGCAATTCTCGCACTGTGTGCACTTTCATAGTGCGAACAATTCTCAATGTGGTCAGAGCTAGAAAGCCTGAATTTCAATGGCCCCTAATTGTTCAGATGCAACAAGGCCGAGTCCGTTCCAGATTTACCATCATAATAATTTTTGTGCCTGTGTTGAGCTGAACGAGGTGGCAGTTATGGGGGCGCTTTGCGTCAAATTTTGGGTTTGGTTTTAAAAGGCTGTCCACTGCTGTTGTTCATGCCATGGGCGAAGTGGTGCCGATAAAAAGAGAGAATTAGCAGACACCACTTCTTAGACAAACTCTATACCAGTATTCGATCACCCAAGTGCATTTATGACGTAGCTTATTCCCTCTAACTGACGGTAGAGAGCACAGTAGATGCTGCGCAATTCTACTATCACTATAAACTAATTCGCGCGCAAGTCACCGTGCCTGCTGCCGTGTAGCACACGGTGGACATCGTCGGAATCGATTGTCGAACTGTGTTTACTGTGTTTTAGGCTGCGTCGCTTTCACCGTTGTGTTAACAGTAGATATTCTCTGTCTTTGATGCATAACGTCAGTCCGGATTGCATTGTCGGGCTGTCACCTGGCTCCCAAATGATGAACACCCCAAACTGAATCGATCTCATAATTGTCTTAGCATGCTGTGCTGTCCCAGTGCTGGATTTCCGCACGATGCGTAGTAACGACACCGGCAGCGAAAATGGTTCTGCAGCAACCAAAAAGTGGCGGTGAGTTTTGAGCTTTGCAAACTCATCTATAAATTGGAGCAAGAGACTTATTTTGGCAAGTGTGTGACTCCTCTCCGAAAGGCTAACAACTCTTGTGCTTTTGCTTCTCGCAGAGATAGGACAAAGAAGGCCTTAAAGACTCCTGGCGACTGGCCTAGTTCTTCGTTCTAGCATCCTTGGCGACTACATTTGCTCGTTACAGTAGATCTTCGAGTATACAGAACGTTAAGCACAATGTCACTCAATGACCGAAGAGTCTTGAGTTGAAGTATCCTAGGCCACCCAAACCTGCGGTCGGGATACGGCAGTTGGACCGTCATTATCGACGACATCCAACAGTTTGACGTGGATTCCGACGATGTCCACCGTCCCCTGATCGGGCGCAGGGACGGTGACTCCCGTGAATTGGTTTATAATGATAGTAGACCTGCGATGCATCTGCCACACTCTCCGCCCATCTGTGCATGGTGTCAAGACAGAGTCCGGAGTACCGGATGCGGGATCGGCCGGCGCGGCGCGGACGTGAAACTAGGCGTGCAGTCTCACTCCTTGGCCCAGGGGACCAAGATTTCACACAACAAGAAAGGACGGAAGGCTGCTTGGATCCCAAATGAATGGCGGTGCCATAAAAGCCACAATAAGAAGCCATTTCAGCCTGGGGGAGGACCAAGTTGTCACACAAGTTTACAGCCGTTTAATCCACGTTTTGTAGTGTATCGTGATAGATTCAAGTGCCTTCAGATTGTTTAGTCATGAATGTGCACTGAGAGAGAAGACCTCATTAACTCTTCCCCCTGCCAGACACCACTGCACTGTTTGAACCCACCAACTAACTGATGCGGAGATTGGGCGTATTGACTGACAAAGCTAGTAACAACCAGTCTGCGCGCACCACACACCGCCTGATTCTCACGCAACCGGGATTTCACGCAAAGTTGGTAAACTGCGGGGGTTCTCACATGTGTTAGAACAGCAGAGGGACCACATGGAGGAGCCAAAGAGCACATTTCTCACTTGCATGCGAGGTGACGATTCCATGTTTATGGTGAGTGATGAGGAACGGCTTTGTGTATGTGGTGTATCTGCTGATGAGGCGATACGTAGTGATGGGGTTCGGCCGGCGGTGTTTTGTCCCAGGTCTCCATGGGTGCGCATGTGACCAAGTAAGCCCATGCGGCAAGTGAATGTGCATGGACAGTGTGAACAGTGGAGGTGGATGCGATGAGTGTATGCCGAGGCTCCTGGAACTGATTAACCGGTCTCGGTGTGATGGGTTCTCAAGTGGCCGGCCAGGCCGGTGCGTGATGTGAAGGTGGATCGCAGCGAGGATAGGTTGGGGCCGAGTCCACATCGCAGGTGGTGGAGCGGTGGTGGCGAGGGTAGCGATTGACGGGGTGTCTGGAGTGTCCTGAACCGCGGTAGGGGTATAGAGAGCTGTTAGACGTCGTCCCAGGTGTTGCGACGAAGGTGATAGAGGAAGTGGGGTTCGACGACGTCGGCTGAGGCGTTGGCTATTGACGTGGTTTGAAGGCGCTTGAGACTTGTGAACAGCTCTTTTGGCCTTGGCAGCGACGGTCCACTTGGCTTCGTAGGTTGCTACTCCGGTCTTTACTGCTTCTATTCGGGTTGGTTAATCCTGGGCGAGGTCCTCTCAGGTCTCCAAGTTGATTTTCAGTTGCATGACAGGGGTTTTCAGGGTGTCCCTGTAACGTTTTAGGGCGCCTTGTCGACGTGTGCCGTAGAGAAGTGCCGTAAAAAAGGTCGATTGGATAGGCGTTCGTCATCCATCGTGGCGTAGCCGCTCCAATGCAGTTGAATTTGCGTTAGGGGGACGCGAATTCTGAGAATTTCAGTTCATTCAGAGACCGGTGTTTCAAATCCTGTCTTTCCACCTCAATTTCAGTATTCTTCGGAAGCAGCTGAGGTGGTGGTTAGGTTTCCTGTCTAGATTGGCGTAGACGGTCTATGCCTCCGCCTCGTATAATAGCGTTTTTAGTAATATCGCACTGTATATTTCCAGGTTCGTGTTAGGTCGAAGTCGTTGCGGTCCCAGACGGAGGCCTGCAGCCAGCCGTGGGCCTGGTTGGTTTTGAAGATCCAGTGCCAATTTTATCGTCGGTCCTGGTGGTGCGTGCGTGTGCTGCCTAAATAAACCAATCTGTCCACTGCTTGGAGTTTGGTGCCGTTGGCTGTAATGCGAGGGTCATTGTACTCAGTATTCGGCGACGGCCGATGCATGACCACCGTTTTGTCCGTGTTGCTGGTAACCCCGGAGTTTGCGCAGTCGGAGCCGATAAGGTCAATGTCCCTTTGCATGGCTGCATACGCGAAGAGAAGTTAGTGATCAATGGTTGTAGAAGTCGCATGAACGTTTGCATTCGTCAATGGTTAAGCAGCTGGCCGTTGAGCCTGTAGGCGATGCTAACTGCAGGCCGCTCATCACGGTAGGCGTCCAGGAGCATGGCAGAGAGTATGAGACATAGGAGAGCGGGAGTGATTACGCAGTCGTGCCTCACTCCAGTGGTCACTGCAAATGCCTGAGACTGTGCCGTTGTCCGTGACTCGCGCTATCATGTCGTCGTGGAGCTGACGCACTATCTTAATAAATCGTTGGGGACAGCCGAATTTCTGCGTGATTTTCCACAGTCCGTCACCACTCACCGTGTCGAAGGCTTTCGTCAGACCCCCGAAGGTAGAATACAGACGGATCTGCATCTCCTGACATTTCTGTTGCAGTTGTCATGCGGCGAAGATCATGTCGGTGGTTCCACGATGACGGCGGAAGCCGTAATAGTTTACCGGCGTAAGACTTTATTCCAGATGATTACTCAGATGGTTGAGGAGGATGCGAGCGAAGATCTTCCCGGCGATGTTCAACAAGGAGATGCCGCTGTGATTGTCGCAGAGTTGGCGGTTTCCTTTCCGCTTGTATAGATGCACGATTATAGAGTCGTTCAGATCCCGGAAGACTGCCGCCAGATAATCCATGAGTTGGAGGCCACCGTGCTTGTTGATCTCAGTAGGGATCACGTGCGATCCGGGCTCTTTTCCGCTACAGGGCTGATGCACGGCACTGATGGCTTCGTATAGAGAGGGCGGGAGGTCGAGGTCGACGATGGTCTCCACTTTCGGCGGACCGGAGATGGTGGAGGGACGATTGAGGAGGCTCCTGAATTTCTTGGCCCATCGCGGTAGAAGTTGTGTCTTCTAAGTGAGTAGAATACTCCGGTCGACGCTGAGAAGAGGAGCAGTTACTAGAGCTGTAGGGTCGTAGACAGCCTGTACCGAGGCAATGAAGTTCTTCCATTGGTTGTGGTCCGCGTACCCTTGGATCTCCTCAGCCTTGCAAACCGTCCAGGCGTCCTGCATCTCGCGCAGTCGCTGTTGAACGAAGCGACGACTACGGTAGGAAGCAGTTCTCTTGTAGTCGGTTGGGCAGTCGACATAGGCTTTGTGCAGGCAGTTCTCGGCGAGCAAGTTGCTGACGATGGCGACGTCATCGAACCAGTCCTGGTCCGAGGACGACCAAGGCCGTCGACTGGACTGTGTCTCGTAGTTGACACCATCGGTTCTCCACGGAGGCGTCCTTGTCAGCGGCGGCATCAGCGACCGGTAGGTTGTCTAGCCGTTGAGCTGGCTCGTTGCTGAAATGGAGTTGGTGGGAAGGCAACGACAACAAAAAAATATTCAGCGTACCTGCGGACCGCTTACCTTGAAGTCTCCTGCGAGGCTGTAGGCGAATCCGCATCTTCGAGATGACGAGACGATGGTCGGTCCAGCCGTCAGCACCCAGAATCACCTTTGTCACCGCCACGTCCCGCTGGCCTCGCGTCCAGACGCGGACATATTCCAGCAGATGCTATTAGCGCGACCGAGGATGCATCCATGTGACCTTCTTTCGCATCGACAGGCAGAAGAAGGTGTTCGTCAGGATGAGTCGGTGTTCTGTGCAGGTGCATAGAAGGAGCAGGCCATTATCGTTGTAGCCGTTGAGACCATGGGACCCAGCACTCCTCTCAAGGCAACATGGTCTGTGCTGACGCGGGCATTGAAGTCACCATGGATGATTAACTTGTCCGCCTTCGGCACAGTCGGCTGGAGCATGTGCAGGTCCCCGTAGAGTCTGTTCCTAGCAGAGTCAGAACTGGTCATCGATGGAGTGTAGACGCTGACGATGGTGGCAAATATGCCTCCCTGGAGAAGCAGGTAGAGGCTCATCAGGCGGCCGTTGTTGCCTTGCGGCAGACAGAGTAGTCGTCCCATGATGTCGTTCCGAATGGCAAAGGCGACAAACGCGTCCCGTCGCTCTGCCTTGGGGCGACCGCTTTAGAAGTCGTAGGCGGCACCCACCTTCTCCAGTTGACCTTGTTCGGAAAATCGGGTCTCTCCGAGTGCAGCGATGTCCACCTTGTGGCACGCAAGTTCCCGACCCACTGGCGCCGTTCTCCGTTCCGATCGGCTGCTCCTCGGATTGTCTAAAAGCGAACGAACATTCCAGGCTGCCAGAGTTGGCGGACTGATCCTACCAGTCTGGCGAGTGGGGCGGCGGATAGGAGGATGAGGAAGAGGAGAATGTGTGGTTTCGATTTTGAGTATTATGACCTTGTGTTTTAAATCTGTGACCACAGTCAGCCCGCAGATGGCGTGGTTCCCTAGTATTTGTTTTGGGCACCTTTTCTAGCCCCTCCCCCCTCGCAAGGGTGCGCAGTATTATCCCTATATAGGGCCGCTCAGATGTGTCAGGCGACTGCCGAACACCACTATGGGCCACGTCTCTGTTTGGTGGAAGAACAACCCGAGTTAGCCTGGGACAGCCTACGACATCGCGGTATGCTGAAGAGGAGAGGGTAGGGAGGGTAGAGAGACGGGAAGCAGAACTTTCGCGTCATTCTCTTGGTTAAATAGTTGTTGAAATATAAGCGGTAAGCAAACGGTGTTTAGCTTGCAGTATAGACAGACAACATCAAGCAGAAGCAAAAGAAACAGCATAGATTCAACAGAACTGTAGTTAATTTTTAACAAGCAGACAGAGAGCACGCAAACAAGAACAAGCGAGGCAAAGGCAGCAGAGCAGCGTTCGCTTACCTGGAAACTCACTTAGCTTGTGGTCTCCGACGGTGTCCCGACGGAGAGACCGCTTGCACAGCCTCTTGCGCGCTCTTACACGTCTGTAAAGTTGTCCAACCCAATCAGTCTTCCCTGATTTCTGATTTGGGAACCCTTGTGTTGTCGACATCCATCTCGACTGTCCCAAGTTAGTGCCTACTTTCGACAAACTATGCTTGCTGGCCTCCGTGTAAAATGTACTGGCAGTGGTCCTCGTGGATGGTGCCCGCATCCGCATACTAGCACTGTTGATGTTTAAGATTCTCCTGAGTTAAATCCTCGCAGTTTTACCACAACTTGTACGGGTGGGATCATACCTGACCTAGGCAGATGCCGTTACTTGTACTTCTCCAAGTGTGACGATCTGCGGCAGAGGATCTGGCGACCTCGATCCATTCTCGCCTCCTGTGACGGAGTCCGAATACCCGAGGTTTGAGAACAACTTCCATGTCCTGGCGTACTGTGCTCAGGCAGGTTTTGAGTGAGCCTCTCTTTCTATGTCGCCAAGTGGGTGTAGCCGACGGATCGAGGGCAGTAACTGAGCTGTTGAACCGGCCCCACTACCTCTTCCTTCTCACATACGCCATTTGGTCGTCCGAGCCCGTGATTCATCTGATGCTGGGGTCGGGCACAGTGGTTGACAAAGCTACAAAGGTCGGTTTACATGTACACACGAATTGGGCACGCATCAAAGTACAGCAAGTAATATGCTTCCCATTTACCTGAAAGGTGTACGTTCCGTGAAGGTGGTGGGTGATGCGGCACGGGTTTATTACTGATTTGGAGATGTGTGGGCAGAGGAGGGAAAAGGAGGTTTGGTGATGGGGTTTTGACTGTGTTCTGCTCCGACGGGTGTGATGGAAGAGAAGGAAGGCTGGTTCTAGAAACAAATATTCTAATGTAGTGGCAGAGGGGCGCTCACTGATCATTCTTACGGAATTCACTCGCTCCGATGGACCTTATGGGATTTCTCTCTGCCGAAATCAAACAGCAGGCGCACAGTGGCGCACGAAAAGGCAGAATGTTATTGCGGACAAAGACAAGGGAGACTGGAATAGATATTTCCGGGTTATTAGCCGTCGTCAGCCAGTCATACCCAACCCCGAGATGTGGAACAAATGGGGCTGGAACTGGCAACCTGTTTGTTAGAAGTCTATCGCCTCTAACCACTGAAACACGTGCTCGTTGTCCTGTCGGTATCAATCGGGAATATAAAATGGTAGATTGGCGCACAACGAAAGAGTGAGTTCCGTAAGAACGATCGGTGAGCACCCCTCTACCATTGTACATTCCCGATCGAAACTGACGGAACAACGAGACCGTGGCTCAGTGGTTAGAGGCGTTAGACTTCTAACCAACAGGTCGCGAGCTCGAGCACTAGGTGTTCCACACCTCGGGATTGGGTATGACTGGCTGACGAGGACTAATAAACCACAAATAGACATTCCAGTCTCCCTTGTCTTTGTCGGTGATAACATTCTAATTTATTGTAGCTCAGCGGATCCCTTACCTAATCGAGTCTTGCCTACTTATTGGAGGTCTGGCCGTTCTCGAACCTTCCGGAAAATAGCGTGCCAATCGCGGTGGTCATTCTGGAGTATGCTGGTCTATGGCGTGTCGCACGTTGATTGGCCATCTCCTACATTGGAAGCACCTCAGGGAATCTTTCCAAACGTCTGGGTCGCACGCGTGAGCAAAGGCTTCACGCGTATTCGATGCGGCGGTGCACATTGATTGGCTGCCTGGTTTCACGCGTGTATTTTCCAGCCCACCCGGCCTGCTGCGTCACACGTGGTCACGTGTTCTGTTCGCTTTAGAACGCGATTCCATTGTGGTTTCGGTCTCAGTAAGACTAATTTGTCTTACTTCAGATTTTCATGCAAACCCACTCGGACTAGACGGCCTGCGGCAGTCCGCTCCCTAGATCGCCGACGCTTTGTCACACTGCCTTTCTGTCCGCCTCACTCTCTCTGTCGCTTCGCTGATGGGACCGCGAGGGGCTAGTCGAAAACCTCGCGAGAGCTCAAAGCAACCAACGATGTTACGTCGATGATTGACTGCAGGCGGACACAACTCGGGCCGAGCAA